TATCTCAGATTCTTTCTGAGTGGAAACAGAAGTATGAGGAGTGTCAGTGTGAGCTGGAGAGCTCCCAGAAGGAGGCCAGGTCTCTCAGCACTGAGCTCTTCAAACTGAAGAACTCTTATGAAGAGTCTCTTGAACATTTGGAGACCATGAAGAGAGAGAACAAGAATCTTCAGGGTAACTGAATGCACATTCACAACACATGCACAAACACATACAGGTACAAAAGAAAAGTACACTGAACACAACCACTTTCATACACAGAGGAAATTTCTGACCTCACTGAGCAACTTGGTGAGGGGGGAAAAACAATTCATGAGTTGGAGAAGGTCCGTAAGCAGCTGGAGCAAGAAAAGAGTGAGATTCAGTCTGCCCTTGAGGAAGCAGAGGTGCGACTAAAACCTAATATCCTCCAGTCTCTTACGTATATATATTTATAACTTTAAAAAGAACAGTTCAAAATATGATTTCACGACCATCTTAGGGTTCTCTTGAGCACGAGGAGGGCAAGATTCTAAGAGCTCAGCTTGAGTTCAACCAAATCAAGGCTGACATGGAGCGTAAACTGGCGGAGAAGGATGAAGAGATGGAGCAGAGCAAGAGAAACCTGCAGAGGACCATCGACACCCTGCAGAGCTCTCTTGAAGCTGAGACTCGCAGCAGGAATGAGGCTCTGCGGCTGAAGAAGAAAATGGAAGGAGACCTGAATGAGATGGAAATCCAGTTAAGCCAGGCCAACAGGCAGGCAGCCGAGGCCCAGAAACAGCTTAAGGCTGTTCATGCGCATCTAAAGGTAAACTAAAAAGCAATTATTTCTCATGTTTCTCTTTCTGTAATGGATTATTTATAACCAGAGGATCTAACATTTTTCTAGGACACACAACTTCAGCTGGACGACTCTCTGCGAGCCAGTGATGATATGAAGGAAAACATTGTCATTGTTGAGCGACGCAACACCCTGCTTCAGGCTGAAGTGGAGGAGCTGAGAGCAGCTCTGGAGCAAACGGAGAGAAGCCGCAAACTTGCAGAGCAAGAGCTGCTGGATGTTACAGAGAGGGTGCAGCTACTGCACTCACAGGTGACACAGACAGAAAGGTTCATATTAAATTGCTGACCAAAAATACTGCATATCATACGACATCATTTGTCTTTGTTTATTGTATGCAGAACACCAGCCTGATAAATCACAAGAAGAAGCTGGAGGCTGATACATCCCAGCTTCAGACTGAAGTGGAGGAGGCAGTGCAGGAATGCAGGAATGCAGAGGAGAAGGCCAAGAAGGCCATCACTGATGCTGCCATGATGGCAGAGGAGCTGAAGAAAGAGCAGGACACCAGCGCTCATCTGGAGCGAATGAAGAAGAACATGGAGCAAACCATCAAAGACCTGCAGCACCGCCT